AAGTCCGCCCTGGGCCCACTGCTGACTGCTGAGTGATTGCCATGATAAGTGGCCCATTATGATGCCAGTTTGCACAGTGAGATTGCTCTGCGCTCCATTGGAGTTCGCCCTCGCCATCGCCATCGCCATCGCCGTCGCCGTCGCCCTCCAATTCGCTTTTAATGCATATCAGAGTGGGCAAACTTCTGGCCGAAAAGTGCGTCATTGTCCGTTGTCTACAAATCCCTGCTTCCCAATTCTGCTCTGTTCCTTCCTTTCCGCAACGTCTGTTGACAAAAGACATTTAATTTTCCCTTAGTGTGTTTTTGCCTCGCACGTCTCTGCTCGAAGTAAAGTATCTGTGCAATAAAGTTAGTCGTTGCCGTGGATTCTTTTCTGAGCGATGTTTCTATGCTCGATTTTTTGTTCGTCCAGCGTCGGGCGAAAACTTTGATAAGTGAAATTTATTGTGGCCGGTTGGCTGTGTCGTCTTTTACGGCACCAGAATCACAGACAGAGGAACGTCCAACTGATGGCTGCTCTGCTCTGCTCTAAATTTTGTATGCAATTCGCATAGCGACAAGAAACTGCTGTTTTATTCTTTATTATTATTTAAGCAAATTAATAAGGCTTTACTCCTTTTTTTTTATGATCCCCACATGATCCTAATCGAGACTTGAAATCTCAAAAGCCGAAGCAAGTCGAACTTTTTTTATAGGCTTACGCTGGAGTCAAATCCCCGGGAGGACCGCCCCAAACTCCAAGCCAAACTCAAACTCATTAATTTACGTAAAATCCACTTAAACTGTATGCCGTACGCAATAAATTCCACTACTTTGCGCCTCATCAAATAAAATGAATGTAGAAATTTACCACGCAGCAAAGTCAGACAATAGAATAGATAGAAATCTACATGAAGTAGACGGCGCGACGAGTCGACACTGAATTTCAGAACATGTGGTGTTATGATGAGGTTGGAGACCACCGAAGGCAAACCAAACCAACCACCACCCAGTAGCCACCCACCACCCACCACCGCCACCCACCGGGACGAAGATGAAGCCACCCCAAATCCTGGGACTTGGCCAGACAAAAGGGTGGGCCGCTCGTAACAGTGCATTGATATGCCCCGTACGGCGTAAGCAAAGCGATTTTTTCAGCCTGATTTTGTGGGGGAATTCCCTTAAAGCCCGATGCTGGCGTACTGCCGTACTGCCATACTGGAGTACGTGCCGTCAGATCCCCCTCATGCCAATGCATTGGCATAATTTCAGGCAATTGTCAAACAAAACGAGGGGTGGCAGGCGGATAAATTAGATTTTTTTTCTTGCGCAATTGCATAAAGCCCGACAAGCGGATGGCCCCAGCTCCATGCCCATCCGGACCATTGTAATCCTCAAAGGACCCACTCGTAAATATTCATTGCATACGGCCGGGCGTTTGAGCTTAAAGTTCTATCACTCACCTCGATTCTTATTCCAGCTCCCCCACCGTACGCTATGCTTTTTTCAAGGTCTTTGCCAAATTTTGGGGCGGCAGGAATTACATTTTCGCCACCCACCCAATGTCCTTGCCGTGCGTCCCCCAACGAATTGGGGGTTGGCCTTATCCTCCAAGGGTGTTGAACTATAAATTGAACCTTTTGTTGCAGTTTGCGCCTGCTCTCCCAGAGTCAGAAGGGGTCCGACAACCCTCGCTTTGAGCTGTCTTTAATAAATGTTTGGATGTTTCGTTGGGAGATTAAGTGGATTCTGTTTATGGCATGAGTAATGATGGATGCATAATGCCCACGTATGTGGCAGGTGTGGGATGAGATCAGGTGGAATGGGCTGTGGTTGAAGTCCCCAAATGAAATTACAGGGTGAACGACACCAAAAATCTGCAATTTAATTCTACTAGTATCTTGGCCAAAGTATAAGAATCTATCAAAACGATCCATTTAGCTAGTTTTAACATTGCTAATAAACTGGAGAGTTGTGTATCCAGTCCAGCATAAGTTTCTATCTGAATAAAAAGTGAAGGGCATGCGGGCCGGCGATAATTAAAGAAAAACTTATATGAATGCTAAACATGATGACTGATGCATTCAATATAATTATCGATTCTAGTGTGTGAACTTAGGAATCCGTAATAATACCTACGTAAAATCCGCATTTGATACTGGAGCAGACCGCGCATCTACCTATCTCAATATTGTTTGGACTTGTCATAAGTGATAGGGAAACATAGAGAAAAAGGGAGGGAGCGCAACCGCTAGTTGCATCTCGTATATCCTATATTCAGTAATGACCTAGTTGATTCGATTTTCCTTTTTTAATATGTACTTTTGTATGAGTAAAATCTATTTCTAAACTCCTTGAGTATCGGGTATATAGATCATTTTACCTATGAACATATGACGAACGTTTATCATACGTGCTGTGATCTCGAAATTTGGCTTATCACGGAACTATAAACAAGTGAAATTTGTGCATACATATGTATGCGTCGTGTTTCGATAAAGACAGTTTTGGCGTAAAGCTTAATAAATAGCTTCGATATTTCACATTTCACTTTAGGATTACTTTTATGTAACATTAATGAAAATAAATTCTTATTTTTAGAGTTTTACATTCTTTAATTCAATTATTTTTACAAATTCTGATTCTCGAGCCCCCAATTTTCCGAGTCCCATTCCTGTGGCGCTCCGAAGATCTGAACATTTTGAGTGAAATAGTACAAATTATATGCTAGGGGCATGGACATTAAATGAAAGCATATCGACCTCAATGAGACAGGTAGGTTCATCTGTTAATTTGAAAATGTTATTCACTAAATAAATAAAGAACCAATTTTTGCAACTTGCATCAGTAACCGGGTAGTAGGAACGCTCCAGAAAGTATCTGTGGAGCTCAATGGAGCTGTTCATCTGGCCACCCAAGTGTATGTTCGTCTCGAAGGGCAGGAATCGATGTCGATGCCACTCGTCTCGGCTGTCGCCGGCTACGACATTGACATTGCTCAGGCAACGACCCAGTTCTTGGGCTGCCTCGCCGCCTCTATTCTGGGAGCTGCACAGGTTTTCATCGGTTAATGCCTCGAGCACGAATCGCTTAAGACTGGCAGCACTTAGCACAATTCCAGAGCCATCGAACATGTATACCTAAACAGATAGAGGCTAAGAGTGGATGATCATGGGCTAGTACTCACTCACCAGACCCTCTCGACTGCTTCTCAACTTGCAGCCAAAGTAGATGAGCTCCTCGGGACTGTAGGACTGCAGCATATGACGAAGGTTCTCCACGAACACAAAACTTGAAGAATAAACTTAGGTGATTATGTTTCCGAAGCTGGCTCCCACTCCCACTCCCACTGGTTCCTACTTATCATCGTTGGCATAGAGGAACCAGTCTCCTTGATGGAAATGCTTCATGTAGGTGTACTTCAGATGCGCCCGTATCCGCTGCCATTTATCCCAAATATTCTGAAACACGGCGGGCTCCAGAACCACATGCACATTGTCACTGACGAACAGATAGTGATCGCAGTGCCTGGCCCAGGTCTTTTGGATGTGGATGGCGTCATGCTCGTGGCGGTACGCGAAAGTGACAATTACACAGACGATACGCGGACGGGGTGGCGGTGTCGCCAAAATATCCGAGGTGGAGGTGGTTGCATCCCTCTGATACAGCAAAAAGAGCAGAAAAAATATGACTCCAAGAAGCAGCGAGCTATTAAAAACGGCACACTTGTTCTTGCCCCCAAGGAACAGCCGCCGTGTACTGAAATGTCGCACCATTTTCAACTGAATGTGGGTCCGATGGCTCGGCTGTGGTCCGGGTGTTCCATTTGCAATTTAATTATATTAAGTGGTGTCTTCGGTACGAGATATTGCCGAGAAATTGCCGTTTTCAATTAGAATTATTAACTCATCAGAAACGGAAGTCACCTGAAGACATCGTTGTCTGGCAAAACAGTGTCTATTTACGTTTTCTTTGAAAGTTCAAATTGAGGATGGGTAAGTGCAGCAAATAAAGCAAAAAGCAATTGCCATTCAACGGCATTCCAGGCTTCATAGATAAGGGTAAATTCAAAGGTCTTGGTCATCTAATACAAATGCTGCTGAGAAATTTGAGTTTTAAATTGTGCTATCCACATACTCGTACATATGTAGGTCCACAGGTAATCTTTCCCCTCAGCATATACTCGTACATATGTATTTATGTATCGCAAAAATCGTATAAATATGTGTGAAAACGCTTTGAATCCATTTAAACACGTTATCAGATTTGCATAACATCTACACATATCGCATCTATTTTTGTCTTACCCAACCAAATTATCACAAATAACTGTCACATAAATACACATGTATGTGTATATACCGGCAGGGAAAGAATTCATGGCTCCATCGATTGTTGTCAAAACAAAAGACTCGAATATATGTAGGTATAGTCGTGTTATGAGAACTAGGGAAACAACAACTTATGGAAAAACTATGTACGGGCATTATTTTGGGTATCAGTGTCTCACTTTACGTGCTCAAGTTACCGGATTATGGAGTTGTCTCGTCTCCACCCGTCTCACAGGTGACGGTGAAGGCGATGCAACAAAAGATGCCTACACTTGGGTAAGGTTGACCGAGTCCTAATGGGACAGGAAACTGGAAAATGTGCAAAATTACATTTTTTCCTTTCTTTGGATACTCTGTTATATCAAACGTGATGCAACAATGAAGCTAAGCCGAGAAAAAAAAAATAAAAACGGAAGTCCTTTTCAAAGCAAAACAGGCCAGCGGCAGGCAAAACGGCAATTTGAGAGTTCGAACTCCAGGCCCAAGCGACAGATTCATTGATAAACACGTCTGTCCCTGTCCCCGTCCCTGTCCCTGTCCCTGTCCCTCCACGTATGTGTATGAAGCCATAATGTGAGAAATGTGAAAACTTACATGCCATACTCTCTGTGTCTGTGGCTGGATTTGTATCTGTATCTGTGTAATTGAAGCATTAGACCTCAGGAGTCCAGCTGCCAAAGACGCGTTTTTATTGATTAGAGGAGTCAGGGGAGCTTTGCATAGGAAGACCGAACAATTGCAATCGATAAACAAAGTAATAATAATCGTACATTTCAGGTGGATATCCAACACGAAAAGTTATGGCGCGCTTCGACAAGGGGACTGTTGCCTGAGGAGAGGATAAGTATTAATCGCACAGATCCTTCAAATATGAGGGTGTATGCACTCACCTTGTCCACCTTATGGTATGTCAAGTTCTTGAGCCAGCTTATGTTATCGTAGCCCTCCAAGAAATGGTGACTCATTGGAACGGGCATGAAGGTCTCGTTTCCGTCCTCATCACGGCTGTCGACAACGGTCACACCCACATGACTTAGACACCGACTCAGCTCCAGCTCCTCCGTAAAGCCCTCCAAGTGCTGGCAGTGGTCGTCCTTTGGATCTCTGCCCAGGTCCACATACCGTCTTAGGGCCTCATGGCTAATCACATAACCACTTCGGGTAAAGACAAAGGGCTTTAAAGCCGCAAGACACGACTAGAGTAAATTCAAAATTTTAGAGGCATTTCAATCACCTTATGTGCGTACACATTTTCCAGTTCATGGCCAAAGTAGATCGGCGTAGTTGGTACGAATTTCTTGCTGTGTATCATATAGCGCAGGTTCTCCAGAACCACAAAGCTATGGGTAGAAAATATTTTATTCGCCATGCGAACATTTCTTTTGTGCTGATCTAAAAATGTTCATTCCCCATTCACCTTGCGAAATTGTGCATATCAATAAAACCAATCTCTTCTCTGTTGTGCATACAAAATCAAGTAAAGTTACATATATACAAGTAAATATATTTGTATGTTCGTATAGATTTGAATAAGCGTGGAGTGAACAGCAACAAATTTACATTTAAAGAAAACGTGTCCCAAACGTGCGACGTACCCAAGGCTGGTTTGAAACAAGAAGCTAATTATAAGATATGAAAGATCAACCAATCAAAATCGATTCAAAGCAACTGCCTAAGATACCAGAAATAACGCCGATGAGCTAAGATTCGCATAGAACAGCCTCAAAATTGGACTGTGAATGTTGTAGGTGGTCCACTGTGGGTGACGTTCGACTTTAAAGTATAGTTAGAGAAGTTAATAAGTATAACTTTGCGCCGTCGTCAGACAATAAGCAAATTCCTCATAATTAATTCCTCAGATTTGAGGGTCAGTCAGCAGAACATTTAACTTTGAGATGACTGGTCCTATAAAATTAAGTCTTAGTTGCGGGTCAATGACCAGTGCGAGTATCCGCAAAGGCTATTATTAAGAAAATGAAAACACATCGAAGATTAAAAAAAGCCACTCAATTCGAATTTAATTGACGTTGTAATATTATATGGCTGATGCTGACATCACAGCTAATAAATTCTCAATTATATATGACGGCATAAATAAAAAAGAAATTCTCATTTCATTGATAGCCCTTCAACACACATATTTGACCTCCCACACATTGTTCCTCGGCTCCCCAAAGCACTTTCGATAAGGTCTGTGAACGTGGGTCTTAAATTGGAACATTTAAGTGTGCATTTGATTTGAAAATGATACAGCCATTCGTAAACAAAGGAAAATATATTGTAAATACATATATAAATAATCATATCTTTGGGAATCATTTTTATCTTAATTTATATTACTGCAACTTTACATACAATTTAATAGACTAGTTTAATTTGTCAAGTAATTAGTTATTACAATCTAATCGAAGCCAATAGGCAGCCTCATTCGTGCACATGGCCATGGAGATTGCTTGAAGAAAATTAGAACCACAAAAAACAAACACAAAGTAGGAGCTTGAAGGGGATGTAGGGGGAAGTAAGCGTTGGTGAAGGCTGATAACTTTATCAACAAATAAGTCAAAGTATAATAGCTCATTGCACGAAAATACGTATTTAAATTAGTATATAAACAGCTTTAATTCCGGAGAGGAAGAAGGAGAATTATAATGGATCGGGTGCGTTGGCACTCAATCAAATTGAGGTATGATCAAGCGAAAGATTGGAAGATCCTTACCTAGAGTCTTCCACTTTAAGGAACCAGTCGGCCTCGTCTTTGTAAGCCTCAAAGGCGTGCAGCAAGCCCCGATGCACCAAAGTCCAATTGTCTGTCTCATTGATTCCTGGCACATAGGGCTCCAGTTCATCGTCGATGTCGCCACTGACGAAGAGCAGGACATTGCAGTGTCTGCCCCACGTTCGCTTCGCATATTTTGCTGTGCTGGGATGGTTGTAGTTGTAGGGTATCATGCAGAGTATTCTGATGTCATCGTACAGTGAATCTACAACACCTTTGGAAATCCTCATAGGGGCGAGTTTCCCTTTGGAACCCCAGAGATTCCCAGTGATATTGAAGGAAAGCACGGTCAGGAGCAGCAGAATCAATGCCGAGTAGGCTGCATAGTAGACACGTCTTTGCGCACCCATTGTGAGTAACTTAACTGAAATGGTTCTGAAAATGCGAGCATGGAGCAATCCGTTCTTAAAAGTAGATAAAAAACGAATCAAACTTTCATGTACATTCAAAGACAATGTCAAACCATGTAGGAGGCGAACTTCAGGGCCCCGAAGTTTTTATACTCTTGAAGTCCAATAAACCTATATATGTATTTAGATGCTACCTAGTACTTGGTAGTTTTCCGATCTGTATACGCTGCAGAAATCGCCTTAGGCGATATTATTCTTCCATTAGTGACAGAAAAGATGCTGCTGGGATGGGAATATTTTAGGATTCAAATCCCTCTCACCGCGTCATCTTAGGATTTTAGTGGATTTCTGTGAAATCATGAAGAGTCTCGAAAAAGTCAAACAAACATTATATTACAAGAGAAATTGTTGGCCCATTAAATAATAAAACCGCAGCCAAATACGCAGAAGAGACAATCATGGTAAAAAGAAAACGAAACAGATTGTTAAGAGGCTAAGGGATTTGGGGATTCCTAGGAGAATCTCATGCCACGAGTTTATCAGGAAAACAAACCTGCATCAACCAACTTTAAATGTGTGTGTCTGTATCTGTCTGCATATCCAACTGGATCTGTAGTCGCTACAAAATACCCACTCCCGTTCCCACTCCCGTTCCAAGTTCCAATTTCAAATTCAACCTCCCCGCCCTCGCTGATGAACTGATGAACTTTGATATTCATATGATGCCAGCGCCCAAGATAGGAGCAGTTAACTCGTTTGCTGCTCCGTGGTGTTCCCACCTTGCAGCATGGCCATACTTTTCAGTCCTCCAACTCTTGGTTTCACTTTTATTTGTGTGCCAAGTGAAGCATTAACGAAAATACCCACAAAATAGCTTGTATTCCTGGGAGTAGAATTAAATGTTGTTTTAAAATAGGGACAACTTCATTGGATTTTGTTGCAATTATTCAGATTGACAAATATGTATGTCCACTCTGCATACCAAACATACATACATATGAATGTGTGTGTGTGTATGAGGCAAGGCAGGTTCGCAGAACTTTGGTAGAGATAATATTCGTAAAAAAGCTTTTGGGGGAACGTTATCTAAGATTCATTGAGAGCTGGAAAAGCTTGTTCTACAATTCACCATGTGCCTACACACATGCATACGAGTGAGAGTACATCTGTATGTATGTATGTAAAATATTTTGAGCAAATATTTGCGAAAGCGCCGCATTCTCGCTTGCTGTGTTACAAAGGCAAACACATCAGATTGCGAAATCTTTGGTCGGCGGCAGCGGCGGCTGCTGATATTTCTTCATTTAATGCTTTCCTTTATCTGGGTGTTTAATATTTTTATTTTTGATTTTTAACCTTTAATTCATTTTGAAGTGGGAATAAAAGAAAAGCAAACGCCGCACTGTCAGTTGAAAGTGTTTGCGCAATTCTAAAGCATAAACATATTTATCTTTAGTCTTTAGAATTGCGCAAACACTTTCAATCTATTTGGATTCCTGGAGAATCTTGGGCTTGACATTTAAAAATACCTCCAAAATGACGTGGAGAGGGGCGATCGGCAAGTTGGAGCTGTTCCATCCCATCCAATCCACAAAATAGTTGGAGTTCAATGTGCAGTGTAGTTAGTATTCAAAAATATCTATCTATCTATCGTTCGGATATTTGTTTTTACGAGTATACTGAAGAGAGGCTACCAGGGTTTAAATAAATACCATATTTATTAGTTTATTAGTATTGCGATTCATCTAGTCTCGTAGGCCCTATCAATATAGTTATAGATATGATGGCCGCTTTTGCATCGTTCGGAAAGACCGGCTTGCCAATTTTCAGTTTAAGCGGTTATTTTTGTTGTGCCTTTTTATATCGAAAAGTAGGTCAAAAGTTGCGTATGACGTTGTCGCTGTCGCTGTCGTTGTCGTTGCCGTGTCTGTGCCTCTTTCTGTGGCTGTTGACCAACCGGTTTCACTTTCAAGCATCGGCGGCGCGTCGTCTGAACTCGCTTTTTGAGCCGTACGTAGTCAAGTCGTAGTCTCTTCCAGCCCCAGCATCAGCCCCAGCATCAGCTCCATCCGCAGCATGAATTTGGCGCTTAATTGAAAATTCATTCCACCAAGTAAGCTTTCCGCTTTGTAAGGGGTAAGCTCAGCCGTAAACGTGGGCTAATGTGCATTTTATTCATAGATTGTTAGTTTCATTAGTCTCAGATGGCGTCGGGGTGAGGTTTCGGTGCCCTGTGGCACCATCAAACTTTCACCCGACGGATGCATCTTCTATTAATGAATGGGTTTTTAATAAATTGTCTCTCGGCAATGCGCTTTCTCGGATGGGCTCCGATTTGCATTAATAGCAAATTATGTTGCTGAAGTTGCACAATATTGTGATGTGCTGTCCGATCTACACGTGTTAAGGGCCATAGAATAGGCCACATCAAACTTGAAAACGATATTGAAGCTCAGTGGCACAAGGCAGTTTCAGCCCGTTCAGCCCAGGTGCGCTGAGTAATCCAAAACAGAGCCCTGTTAGCTGACAGAGCCAGTACAGTCACGGCTGACTTCGGTCTGAGGAAGCTTTCGATTAGGTTCAGAACGTGAGTGGATTACCCAGACAGTCGGCTGGCCAGTGGCCGGCCACGCGCTGTCGGACATTTTTGGCATGTTTTCATGGATCGGAGTCGCTTAATGAAACAATTTGCACACATTGTTGTGCCCGCTCAAATCGGTAGGTGTATTGGTTGGCATTTAAATAGTGGGGGAGAGCCCGCTTCCTCCATAAAATCTTGCTATAGGTTGGTAAGTATGGTGCCAAATGTAGTAATAATGGAATATTTATGGATAATGGAGGTGAGTGTAAGTTAGATGAGCGGCTCAAGGGGTTAGTATATGTCATAAACTGTCCAATAAACTTTAAACCATCATAAATTGCAATTGAGTTTGTAATTAATAATATTTGTTTTGCATAAGCGCCGTATACGGCGACTGTTCCCACCGATATGCAAATGCGGCCTGCGGCTTGCGGCCTGCGGCTAGACACGGCAAGAGGTTCTTCCCAGAACGGAGCCAGAACCCCGGCTCCGTCTGCACCCATTTCACACCCCTGATCGGCGACCTGCGATCAGTCGATGGCATGAGATAAATAATTTTTATTGCTCTCGCATAATAAACTGTATTCGTGCTCGCACCTACTGACATTTCATGTGGTTTTCTAGTTGGTTGCCGGGCATTTGTTGACCCATTCAGCAGATAATAGCAGTAAAGAAACGGACTGACTCGCTGAGCACGGAAGCTGAAACTGCAAGTGCAAGTGCAAGTGCAAGTGCTAGTGCCAGCAGCAATCTAAAAATACAATAATAATAATAATAGTAATGATAGTGACGAAGGAAAAATTACACATCACGAAAGAGAGACAAATCCAATACAATGGAAACCACATTTCCATTTCCATTTCCATAGAATTCCTTTCATTTATTATTGTCAATTGCAGTGCGCCAAGATAACTGAATTGAAGGAATAACTTAGGTGAAGCGTTTAGATAAGCACTGCATACATACAAATGCAGGCTGGCAGAATGGCTGTGGAGAAAGAATATTTGACATGTTCGGGAAATCTGTGCTCGGTTTTAGAGAGATTCATTGATTTCTTAAAACAAGACCTACCACAATCCATATTGCCTTCAGACATGGCCACGTTTTCCTGCTGGGGACTGCTGACTGCCTGACTGACTGACTCTCGCTGCTGGCTGGCTGAACCGAGAGTCACGTAGAGTCTGGCGAAACAACGACAACATCCATGCTAGAAAATCAGTGTTTGAGATCATTTATTATGTCCATTGTCTGTGCAGGGGGAAATCAAAAGCGATTTGCATACCTATAGTTGGATTTACTAGCTTATCAATACGAAATTACAATTGCACAAATGCATTGTGCACAACAATTGCAGTCGCAGTTGCCATTGTACGAGTAGATGCCGTACAGGGACAGACAGAGCAGAAATCAACACGGTCGCAGTCAGAGCCAGCTATCGCGTCCTTAGCTCAATGTCAAACCCGAGCTGTCTCTATCTGTCTATCCATCTATCTATCTATAGCAACTATCTCAATCTATTTTGTTTGGTTCTGCTTCTGCTGCTGCTGCTGCCTCTGCCTCTGCTCTGGCGTTTGTTTTGAGTCTACGAGCTGAATCTGGAAGCTATTTATAAAGCTCCGAAACGATGGGAAAACAAGGAAACCCCTTTCTGTCGATTAGGGGAAGGATTTGCGTGCCATCTGCTTCTGGCGACAATCAAATCAGTTCTGAAGCACCAATGAATCAATTTGAACGTCTACTGATTGATGGAAAAATAATAATATCTTACTGGCTGTTCAAGTGGTTTGGTCCATTGAGATATGAAGATGCAAACAAACGTTCAGATTCTTCCCACTAATTTCAGTTTAAAAAAATGTACAATTCATAGTTATATGTATATAATTTGTGTATTTTTTAATAATAATAATAAAAAAAAATATTAATTTGTGGCCTACCTAAGTCTAATAACAATATATATAGTATATATACATATATATGTATGTATGTGTGTATACGGATTTTAAGTACGAAAAAAAAACTCATTAAGCACAATTTTCACTAAATTATCTGACTGGCTAATATTTGTAGCAAGTAGATTTTGTAGTAACGTCTTTTTATAATCACAGCGCTTAGTTAAAACTTATGTACCGACATAGGTGGTTGGTGAGGCCCATCGATATCAATAGAATGAATGAAAATATCACAGAGCTCAGTTAATTTGATATCCATAAGAACGATTTCGTATCAATCCGTCCGCTTTCATCGCTTCAAGTCGTCTTTACACTGGCTGTCT